GAATTCATTATGGCACGATAAGAGTTAAATATGCGATTTATTTACAATTTCCTTACCGAATACACGACAGCGGTATGCGATCCTGGGGGCTCGGTGTACGAATGGCCTACTGCAGGCAATTAGACTCGCAACACCGGTTGTTTGGATTGTGAAATTCAGTTTTAGGTTTCCAGACCGGTGAGACGGGTAAAACATGATAGTATGCGGATCTTCGGTGTCGTTCGTCGGAGTGGTGAATTTCAAAGGGGGAGCATCTGGAGAGCATAATAATGATAATTATAAATATCAATAATTTAAGAGCGCTTAAAGCCCCTCTACACTAGTCTGGCATGGAGGGATTAGACCTCCCTACAAGGTCACTGGCAAGTGGTTATTTCATCAAATCAGCTCTCAATAAACATAAGGAAAAAAGCATCGCGGGGGATCAACGGGTACCGCTTATTAGGCATTGTTGGCTATATAGAGGGCGAAAGTAGCTATAAGTAGTGCAGTGGGGCTTTAAAGCAAAAGAGTACCATAGCGCTTACAAAATCAAAGAATGTGAATAGAAACATATAAATTACATATACTCATTAAATAGGTAAATTAAATTACAGTACTGTGGGAAGAAGTATGAGTTAACTCATTGTCTACTTGAACCGTGTGATTCCCGTATTAAACCCACAGGGAATATTAATATTCAGTTGTCAACGGGGTTAAGAGATCGTTAGAAAGTGGAACGACAGGTTAATTCTCTGATCGAAAATGGAATACTGTCCCATATTTTTATAAGCAGCCACTGCAAAACGTTTCTCGGTAAATGAGAGTCTGGATTTGAGAATTATTAGTTTATATTTGTCGATAGCTGAGTTAAAGGGATAGTTGAGTTGTGCTGCATAAAATAATTTTTTGTGAGATAATGAAAAACTGAGTGTCAAATTTGAAAGAACATAATACTTATATGACAAAATCATCTTTGATTGATCAAAATCGGTTCAGAGACAGCTGAAATATAACGATTTCTAATACTTGCGTACCACCACAAATATTTCACATTTTGAACAATTTGAAAAAACCGTTGAAAAAACGAAATAACGCCTTTTACGTCGTATTTCAGCAATGCCGATGTTGGCATTTTCGTGTTGCTTATATTACCCAAAATTAGCCGGCTCATGTATTGTTATTTTTTATTAAATAATTAATTAACGGTCACCGTGTTTTTTTAAAGTGGAGCTGAATTGGTATGGTCGTTTTGGCTAAATTCCACACACTTTGGGGTCTAAAATTACCTTCATAGCAATTCTAGGTTCTAAATGGGCACTAAAATGTCATAGATAAGAATAAGAACTTTGAAATGCACTTTAAAATTTGAAGGCATGTGCGGTCTGAAAACAGAACTCAACTATCCCTTTAAGGTGACGAGTTAGTGTAAATATATATGTATATTTGTGGGTTGAGTTAAGATATTTAGGTGCCATAAGATGCATAAAGCAAAGAAAGAATGTCCTCACAAGATGGCCAAGACTGCCAAATTAATCTGTTGACTACCGAGTTATGTCATTCTCATAGGAGCAGTTGGGAATGGGTTAATTCAATTCCAATTCCCTTTTCTATCTCGTCAAAAAAATCTTGTTCGGATTCAGTAATGCATTCTTGTGATGTTTGGTAATAGGGACTTTTAGATTCTGCACGACGAGAACGTGGACTGCCCTTTTAAGGCAATGTGACGTCACTGTCAGCGCCTTAAAAGGACGTCACATTGCCTTAAAAGGGCAGTCCACGTTCTCGTTGTGCAGAATCTAAAAGTCCATATTGTTGAAGGGTAATGGACATGCAAGGCTATTAGAATTGTCTTTGGTTGTTTTTCGAATAGCTTTGCGATCGCGTGTGTCATACATCGTGACTTCTTTATCATTGTTTATCTCGACAAAAAATAGTGTTCAGGGTATGATGAATTCACAGATTAAGATATCGTGTTTTTTTTTTCGTTATTAGGCCGATTTATTCACATGCTATATTTATATTTTATTTTACAAAACATAATTACGATATTAAACGAATATAGAATAAGTGAAATACTTGGTAAGTATACCGAAATGCATTGTTTGTGATGAAAGTTAAAAGTTCAGCCGACGAATAACGGTAATTCATATCATATCAATGTTTGACAATTTACCTATAGCACTACTAGTGTACACATTTTTGCAAGCCGGCATGTTTGGGGGAAATCTCGTAGTTGAAAAAATAATCGTATAACATTCACGTATTTTGAAAGCATAACATATTGCACGCGGTAAGCATTACATTACTCAGTCCTAGAGTCATGTTTCTAAAAAAATAACCACAAGCATAATGTTAGGGTTAGGCTTATGGTTAGAGATAGGGTTAAGGATAGTTTCGCGCGTAATAAGCCAGTTCATAGATACAATCTGCGCATGGGCAGATAAAGGTCATTTGTACCAAAAAGGTAAAACCCACAGAGATGAATACTGGATATGCGCTCATGAAAGTTATGTAACATTAGTCATTTATGCACCAACGGTACATTCTATGACACGCAGATGGAAGCATTCTTTACAAAAGGTATTCATGAAGCACATCTAGGACTTTGGCAGTTATTATTCTAATATGCTCAAAGTGGAACTTCTCCATGTGTAAAAGATCTGTGGATATTTGGGGTCATTTGTACCATGTGCTATCTCTAAACTCCCTTATAATAAACGAGATCAAATTTATATCTGATTATTCTTACCTTCAATCTCTCCATAAAGTTCGAATATAACCGTTTGAAACTTTTCGGTATCCGGTGCCAAAATCCTTATGAACCTTGTCGTAATAGGATTTCTTATAACGTTGTATTGTCCTGCAACAAAAATCTAAAAAGAAGATCGAGAAAGAATGATAATTAAAATAAAGCTATCATCTCGTCGTTGCCATTTCCTATTCTCGTTATAAGTCGTCGGTCACACTACTAAATGAATTTACTTTTTACGCGGTATTTCTTCTTTTTCTTCTTCTATTATATTTTAGAAATAACAAAGATTTTGTGCAAAATGACAGTTAAGGCTGCTTTTGCAAACTGATTGCAGACAAAATCCGTACCGAAAATTGCGCAAACTATCGTAGAAAAGGACACCTACCCCTGGACATCCACCCCCGGATAACCACCCCCAGTCAACTACCTACTAGGACAACTACCCCTAGACAACTGCCCCTAGGATAGTTGTCCGGGGGTAGTTGTCCTAGAGGATGGTTGTCGTAGGCTATATAGGGGGTAGTTGTCTGGGGTATTTGCACCCCCCCCCCTTGAGCGCCAGGGGAGGGGCCCAACCCCCCAAAAAGGTAAAAATCACGTGTTTTTACATGATTTTTTTTTCTCAAGGGTGAGGGGGGGGGGGGCCGGGCTCCCCGACCCCCTCTCCCTGGATCCGCCACTGGTTCAGAGGGTAGGTGTCATAGAACGCAACGAGCCAGGCGTTATTATTAAAACCCCAAAAATAATGTTATGCTTAACAGGATGGCCAATAAAAAGCGGACTAGAATAATTTCAATAATGCGGGACGAATTCCAATTACACCTATAAGTCACGAGGAGTCGTTTAGAAAAGCAATGATACCGAATTCGCTCTCATTAGTTGAGCATTTAATTATTTGTCAAGACGAATTCCTGTGAAACGATGTTCAAGACATCGAATGTCAATGCCCGTTGCAAAGATGATATTCCACACACACTTTTCTTTATTCATGCGTTTTGTAATGAGGCCGCCATCCTTGTCAAGCTTTGCTTATGGTTGCGGTCTCCTGCACTTTTCCAACAGAATAGTTTGGATAATACTTTAAATTTATGATTATATGTTATGGAAATATTAAGTTTCGTTATTATATGTACATATATTATGTAAAAAACATGACGATATTATTGTTTGTTTATGTTGTATTATACCTTACATTTATATGTTCTTCGTTATTCAGTTATATTTTATATGAAAAAATGCAGAAATAAAATAAAATAAAATAAAATCTGTTAAACACAGACATGAACTGTTATGATATAAAAACGCTGTTTCACTTATACTGGACAAAAGTGAACTTTTAACTCGTGCTACAAAATGCTCCCTAAAGCAAAAATTAGCTGTACCAGATTTAATAAAAAGTATTATTTTATTATGTTAATTTTTTAACTTCCGCTTTAACCAGTGGATTTAATCCCGCATTGTTGGAGGTACACTGTATGATAGTCCGATTGTATTGGGTCACCCCGTTACAACGGCATTAAACACTAAGGCAAACCGCCAACAACAACATCGAAAACATGTTTGAAGTACGTAATATGGCCCGACACTTTGAGACAAAATGTGATATAATACACCGTATTATAATACAAACATCAAACAAAACAAATGTTGCTCTAAAAACAGTAGGGCTAAAAGGAACCAAGTATATATATATTGTCACGAAATTGGTTTCATTTCGTAGATAGTTATTTCGGCGTAGATGGCGTAATTCAAGTTAAATATACGACGCTATATAGTCACGTGTCAATTTCAAGAATGTTTGATCGTGCATGTTTTTGACAGTTTTAGTGTAATTACTTTTCTACCATTAATAATTACTTGTTCTCTTTTGTTTAGTTTTATAAATAAAAACTAGTGCTTTCATTTGATATATGATTTGTTTCAATCTGATATTGGAAAGTGAAGTTATATCAATGTTTATGTAATTATTGGAAACCTAACGAGAATAATAAATGTATAAGAAATGTGTATATAAATCAAGTGTCTCACGTGTCAGTGAGCTTCCTGTCATAGTCTACACAATTGCCGTCGCCCACTGGGCACACTTACATTGTAAGGCAATCAGATTATGTTTGGATATTTGCCCAATAAAGTATTGCGTGCAACGAAATGATTGAGATGATCGTTTGCATGTCTTTCCATGGGGAAACCTAAAGTTGAAGTCTGATTTTAGGTGACGACCATGGTAAGAATCTAGGTTGTGTTTGTTGGGTCTTTTACGTTCTAGTATTAGACAATACCAGGGACTACTGTGTAGCAGAGCCAGTGGCATGGTCGAGTAAGCTGACTGTACGAAGTCAGACGGTCTGGTTGTTTGGAGGTGCATGAAGCGAACTGGTGCGGCCAATTGGAGTTGCATGCACAAGCAGACTGGTATAGACGTCTGAAAGGTGCAGAAGCGGACTGGCCTAGTTGGCTGGTGGTATACGACGGAACAACGGTTGGTAGAAGACGGTGGTGAAGTACAGACCTGTGACGGTAAGGTAGTGTCGATTGGACGGTGGTCGAGAGGTGGTGCGGAGCAATATATCAGACTGGTGTCAACGTCAACGGGGCAGTATATTTCTGCCAAACGGATCCACGGTAAAATTGGTACCGGACCAGGAAAACCTACCAGCAGAAGGCATCCTGACAAGAGAAGCTGCTGGGAAGGACATCGACAGGAACCGGTTTCGTTACAATATATATATATATATATATATATATATAAGCAAAACTTTGACCAATAGGAGGTCGGATATACCCCCCAAAGTGGGTGATTTGGTTCGGTCTCACGTAGTCGGTTTTGTGTCGGTCTTGGTGTGCTTGGATGTATAAACCCATGTAGTACCTAATTCAATCTGGGCAACGAAACCGACATCAAACCGACCGCAACTGAATAACCGAATTACAAAATTGATATAAAACTGGTCGGCTTGGAGTCGGTTTTAGTGGAGTCGGTTTGGTGGTGTAACTAAATGGGTTATTATATTATGACATGCTGACCCAGGTCAATTTACCTTGGATTCATTGGTGCACAAATCAATGACGTCATGGAATTGAAGACCATCCATGCTGTAGCACAGACGGAAAGATTTCATCAAAGTGTGCACCCAAGAAGCCTGCAAGTTCACTTCAGTACTAACACCAGTGATTCGATGAGGACATTTCAAGTCCACTTCAGCGAATACATCACTTTGTCCAAACCACATATAGATGTAATGTAAATTCTTTCCGGGTCGCAGAGTATCCACGCAAAAACCTACATGAGAAAGAACCGAACTACATCGAAATCCGGCAAGCATTGTTATTTGAGCTGCACCTATCCGGCCATCTTCCATACCGAGTGGAGAACCATACCTGGGCAGATCCAGTACTGTAACAACAACGACAAAAACAAGAACCGATAGTCTTGACCGGCTGAAATCTTTCAGCGGTTTCCTAATTAAGATTTTTACTCGGACGCTCAAACTTAAACAAAGTTACTAATAGTTTTTCACGTACTCGATTTAAACTAGATATGTATAAATGTATCGCCGGTTTTGAAATATTGGATATTATATCATATTTCTTATTGAAATTATTAAAAGGTGTGTTAGGTCAACAGCTTTGGACAGGATTGCGAGGATCGTAAGTAGCCTTTCACTCCCGTTCATGTTCGGAAGGTTATATTGACGATAATAATGATCCATTTGATATCTCTGTACGTCATATTATAATACATAATTAAGCAACCCTGCGCGTAATCATTGTTTGTTTCACTGAATGGTCATTTCTCTGAAAGTAGACCTGCCCTTTGCGGAGTTCCGCAAGGCAGTATTCTTGGCCCTCTTTCGTTCATTATTTATATAAACGACATTGAGAATTCATCTTGTCTGCTTCAATTTATACTATTTTGCTGACGACTCTAATATTTTTTTGTCACATCGCGATCCAGAGCAATTGACGCAAATATTAAATAACGAAATTAAAATTGTTAGAAATTGGAGAAAAGCAAACAAACTGCACGCATGGCAAGTGAAGTGTATAGAATACTATGATAATTTCGATTTTTGAAAAATTCACTCATTTGCATATTTATGGTAATTTATGCAAATAAGGTCATACAAATCACATTTTTACCCATGAATCAAACTGTGATTACTGTGATTACTGACGGGGCTACCCTGTTTACATAAAACGGAATAAATAAATAAATAAATAAATAAATAAATCATATATTATTCATATTTAAGCATTCTTTTTTCACTACATATATTAATTAGACCATTGAAAATAATAATACAACATTTTTAGGAAGAGCCAGCTTATTCCTTATGTTATCTCTTGTTTTGATAACTTATGTCTTTTATTGCTTTTGTTGTTTTATTTCATTTCTAACTACAATTCAACTATTTTGACTCCCAAAACAACCACCTAAATTTATAACAAGACCCAATAACCAATGTTTGATCTACTTTTAGGAAATATTACTTTTCCATATGTTTTGTACACAAATCACGAAAAGGACCGATTTTTGGGCTGACATGCAAAGACAAAAGGCCATCTGACCTTGTAACTGTAGGTCCGATTTTCAAAACAAATTCTTTTAAAAGTTGCGCAAGACTCGAAAGAAAAAAGGAATCGAGCGGCAGGGCGCCATCCATATGCGTTCCAGAACAATCAGAAAAATCGTGGAGGGGGAGGGGGCATGATGCCCCCCCGGTCTTATTAGGGTTAAAGACAAGATTGAGTTCTGGGGAGAGGTGAACAATAATTTGTTAGCACTATCATTGTTATTATGCAAATGTGGAATTACATCAAAGAAAAAAAAAGCGTGGCTCTTCATATGCCTTCATATTCTGAGTATGACAAGTAACAGCTTAAAAATAAGGGCCCGATTTTTATGCCACATGTTTGTGTACTCCCATACACATCTTTCTGTGTATAGTGCTTGTTACTTTAATTACCAAGACTGGGCTCAATTTCTTATCATTTTGACGACTCCAGAACCTTGCAGTACGCACCAATACTTATATGCTACATAATCGACCTTTTCTGATCGATTCCACACCGTTTCTTTCACAATGCAATCGCATGACCAGAACTCAACTTTATCTTTAACATAGAAAAAACTAATTACATGCTGTTTAGTAATAAGGTTGCGACTTAGCCAAATTTGCCAATTATTTTTTAAGAGTGGATTATGGAAGCACTCACTGATCGACGAATACCTGAAAAATCTGAAAAATCCCTTAAAATATCCCTTGAAAAATCCTTTCAAGGAGAATTTTCTTGCTTCGTTAGAGGATTTTTAATGAGATAGTTGATGACAGACAGCAATAAAGAGGATATAATCTATAATCCAGATAACTAAAATCCGGATTATCGGGGTAATAGTATATAATGTAAAGCGCTTAGAGACGTCCGAGATGTATTAAGCGCTATATAAAAGCTGTTTATTACTATTTTATTTATTACTTACTCATAGTAGAGCACGTGGGACCTGTATGGTCGCATTCGCACAGGCAATCGTAACCGTTCAGCGTCCCATTTCGGCACACCCCGTGCAATCCACAACGTTTTTTGGTCCCCATGCACAAGTCAACTTCCTCTGAACATAAACGAGAAAAAAAAATCATGTAGGCTGGTTTTGTACTTATTAGGGACTTTTAGATTAACACGACGAGAACGTGGACCGCCACGTGTGACATCCTTTTAAGGTAATGTGACGTCCTTTTAAGACACTGCCGGGCACGGCCCAGTGTCTTAACACAATGGCACACGCGGCAGTCCACGCTCTCGTCGTGTAAATCTAAAAATCCCTAATGACGCGGTAATTAAACCGCCACTAAAAAGCCGCGGTATCTTTTTTTTTTTTTTTTTTTACTTGTAAGTTATGGCAACTGCGCCCGTATTCTCTGACCAAGGTATAGAAATTCGAAGCATATTGACTTTACTTCATTAAAAAGAAAGAAATCCCAGAAATAATATTGCAATACCCCATAATAGGAGCTTACTTCGAATCATCGGATCATCGCGTAGTTTCGGGTGGTCGCGTTACCCGACCTTTTGTGAAAACATGCCCCTTTGCTCACGAAATGTCGGGGGTAACGTTTGTGAAGTAAAACCCACTCGGCCTCATCTACAAATGGTCGTGTACAATATACATAATAAACACTTTGTGAAACCCTACTGCTAATATACGAAAGGCCACGTCCTTAACCGTGCATGATCTTCCGCATTCATTTCACGGTAGGTCGTGTAACGCAACCACCCGATCGGACGCGATGTCCCGATGGTTCGAAGCCACAATATTAGGTAACTGAAATTGCGCTTTTGTAAATCTTTTTGGAAAGTTTTTGCGATCCTGTTCTATGTGAAAACGAAGCCTAAGGAGTAACAGAATACGAGTGGTTTCACGTTTATAGGCCAAATGTCCATAATTCAAAAGTGCTCGTATGCTGCAGGTATACTCGATATACTCGTTTAAGCGATTGGCTTCCAAGAAGGAAACGAATTAAAGAACGAACGAGCGAACCGAAACGAGAATTCCTCAATGATTGATTTATTTCATTTATTTATTTGTAGTTTTATTTTTTCTAATGCAGCATTATTAGTTACAAAACTGCTTTCCACAAAGGCCCTGCTGGCCTAGATTAATTATATATTATACAGTATAATTAATGAGACTAAAGATTTAAATTATATATTTTTAAAAAGTAACTTACAAGTTCTATATCGATGTACCAACTGATGAATCTAAAGCAAATAATGAATAATCCATCAATAATCAAGGCGAATTAAAAAAAAAAACCTTCGATGAGACATACACAGATCACGAAGAAAGTTAAATAAACCAAATTCCAAATGACCTTGATTATGTAGGATGTACATAATATATGAGTAACATTTCATCACCATTTATCTCACAAGACTTCTTTTTGACTTCATGACTAGACTCCGTCCCAGGTTTTCCGTAGGAGCGCTTGGCATCCCTACGATAAGTTGGTCTTTGTTGCAATTCCTTGTCAAACCGAACGACTGGTGGGCACTCTTCATTGTCGGCTGAACCTAACAATAATAATAGTAATAATATTTATTTTTTATATAGCGTTTAATACAAATGTCTCTAAGCGCTTTCAAATATACTATTACCCCGGTCATTCTGATTCTGATTCTGTTCTGATCCAGGTCCTGATCCTCAAGAGGGATATAAAGATGACCAATAGGTATAAAGATGACCAATAATATAAAGATGACCAGTAGACATAAAGATGACCAATAATATAAAGATGACCAATAATGTCAAGATGACCAATAGATATAAAGATGACCAATAGGTATAACGATGACTAATAATATAAAGA